CGTTTTGAGCTCCAGAGTCGCTAAATGGGACTCGAAGCGAACGTGTGACCCCACCAATGGACTCCTCGTTCGGAGAGCAATCCATTGGTGGGGTCACACGCTTGGTTCGAGTCCCATTCAGCGACTCTGGAGCTCAAATCGCGTCTAGAGTTTTGGCCACCTCCACCGGTCTTCTGGCCCACTGTGAGCCGTGTCAGTGTCTTAGGCGCGGATGCGGAGACTCCAGAGCTGTGTCTCTCGTCACGACCGAGATCGCTCGCCGCGGAGTCCACCGCCAACGTGCTCTTGCTGCTGCAAAAATAAACGCGGATGACGAAACAATCGAAAGCCTCCACTGCAAGTATCTCACCGCGCATCTCTCTGGACCGCGGGAGGTAGAGGTCGCCGCCGAGCCGCAGACACGCAGGTAGTTTGACATCGGCCGGATGCTGAGAGGTAGGGAAGGGGGGAAGGGGGGGGGGGCACTCAGCTGATCCAGAATTTGGCGGCTGTGTGTGTGTGTTTTATGTGTTGTTGTAGGTGTGTGAGAGTGACTGCAGGGCCCGCCCATCCAGGGCCGTGAGACGCGCTGCGGACAGAGTCGTTTTCGTCGCGCTGTCACTCTCGCACTGACGGGGCGTGCCGCACGAGTGCGAGAGAGACAGACGACTGCTGCACGCGGCTGCATGCGGCAGTACGCGCGGCGGCTCCAAGGCCCCCGTGCCTGTGGTGGGGCTCCTCTCGAGTGCAGGCCGACGGGCGGGCAAGCCAGCGCACCGAATGGCACACTGGCGCGGAGTTTAGTCACCGGCCGGCCTCTGTCGCTCTCGCAGCTCGCACCGCGTGGGCTAGTCGTTGACGTGGCCGTCGTGCCGGACGTCGCGGACGTCGTCGTCGTGGTCCCGAGTTCATAGCGCCGGCCGTCAGTGCGTGGCGACGTCGCCGGCGCGGCCGCCGGTTCGAGCCCCGGCGGCGGCGCGATTGGTTTTTGGTCGTGTGTGAGTGTGTGTGTGTGTGGATTTGGATTTGTTTACCGCCGCCGGCCGCCGCCACAGAGCCGTCAATCAGGCAGATGGTCACCATGCCGCCGTGGGCCACCGGCCGCCCCGCAGTGGGCCAGAAGGCCGGTGGATGCGGCCAAAACTCTAGACGCGTTTTGAGCTCCAGAGTCGCTAAATGGGACTCGAACCGAGCGTGTGACCGATCACACGATCGGTTCGAGTCCCATTTAGCGACTCTGGAGCTCAAAACGCGTCTAGAGTTTTGGCCGCCTCCACCGGTCTTCTGGCAAAGCCACTGTGCACCGCCTCGCGCGGCAACCGGCCGGCCTGCAGCACGTCTGCAGTTTGGCGCGCTTTTCGGGTGCCGGTAACCGAGCCGGCAACGGTCATGGTCACGGCCAAGGCGCCCGCCCCGCCGCGCCCCGCCCCGCCGCGCCCCGCCCCGGCCGTCGAGCCGCCACGCCCCGCCGCGCGGCCACCACCATGACCATCCCGAGCGCTCCGGCGGCCGTCCCACAGCCAGGAGGAGGGAAAAGGGGGAAGGGGGGGGGGTTGCTTGTTCGCCAAAATCAAGAAAAAGCACACGATGGCATTCATAGTGAGTGATGTGCAGATAAAAGGGGAGTGGCAGGGAAGTGCACCGCGGCGCGAGCATGCAGGTGTCTGCCCTGTTTTCCCGCGCTTTTCGCCGCGGGCCCACAGTGGGCCAGAAGACCGGTGCAGGCGGCCGAAACTCCGGACGCGTTTTGAGCTCCAGCGTCGCTAAATGGGACTCGAACCGCACGTGTGACCCCACCAATGGATTGTTCTCCGAACGAGGAATCCATTGGTGGTGTCATACGTTCGGTTTGAGTAATTTTTTAAAAACATAAAAATGATGCTGTTGAATGGAGAAGCGGCACGGCATTTTCCTACAGTTTGATTCTCGACGGATCTCTGCGGTGGGGTTCGCGGCTAATGAGTTGGCCGCAGACACTGGGTGCTGTCGGCGCGGTGCACTGCGAAAAAAAAAGCAACAACCATTTCCACTTTTGTCGTCTTTACTGCGGAGTGAGTGATATAACATGCGCGGCAGTGGTTCTTTATGTAACCGTAAGTTCGAATTCAGAAGCGTTAAAGTCCGTGTGGGTCTTGTTCCAGTGTCGTGTGCCGTACTGTACAATTTTTCAAGTGACCCACTTACGTCAAGGGTATGAAGAGCGAATTTATTCAATTCGGCGAACGGGCGAGCGTCGTGGCGCGACCGATAGTCGAAATAGCGTTATCTGATAGCGTCACAGTCGGTGCATTTATGCCACAGTTGGCAGCCCTGTACCATTGGGCCACGCAGGGCTGCTGACTTAGACCCAAATCTGACGTGGTTTAAATTTCCGGTAACATATCAGCGTCGACTATCAATTTTTGTGGTCAGATCCGGCCATTTCCTCAGTCGGATATAGAACTGCAATTTCATAATTTTCCGTTTTCCCCCTTTTCCTCTCTAGTTTGGTTGCATTTTATTTACTCGCCCATCTGTACGTGAATTGCCGTGCTGTCCTTCTCTGTGACTGGTATCAGAACCCAGGTCTTGCCAGTCTTGCACTACCGCACTGGAAGGCCAGCCTCGTTTAGGAAGTGAGGCCGCCTTGGGATGCGAGAGGCACTACTTGCGGTGCACCACCCTGTCACCGCGCGCTCAGCGTCAACAAAATGAAAGTAGCGAAAAAATATTTTCCCCTCACTTTTTTTAAAATTTTAAGAGTGTGACGACATCGACACTCGTTGTTTTTTCCCCGGCCGGCTTCCTCGAAAACGAGTGGGCGGTGTTCTAGTGTAGCGCCGTTTAGTCGGCCCGCTCTAATGGGTGACTGCCTGGGCCAGTGCCTGGCCGGTGGAGGGCCAGAAGGCCGTCTTAGTTCGGACGCGCGGGGCACGCTTTTGGCGTCAAGTTCCCCAATGGGACTCGAACCGAACGTGTGACCCCACCAATGAGTTCCTCGTTCGAAGAGCGATTCATTGGTGGGCTCACACGTTCGGTTCGAGTCCCATTCAGCGACTCTTGAGCTCAAAACGCGTCTAGAGCTTTGGCCGCCTCCACCGGTCTTCTGGCATATCCACTGTTGGACTGGAATGGAAACACGTGGTTCCAACACAGTGTGCTGCCCTTGGCGCCATGAGTCCGCTGGTACCGTCTGGCCTGCCTGAGGACACCCTTGCCCTGCCTCGGCCCTGGCCCTGGCCCTGGGGCTTCCCTTCGTGCCTGCACTGTTCGCGTGCCGCCGGCATGCCTGGCAGGGCGTCCAGCACACTCGCTTTCGTCGCTCTGTCTCCGTCGCACTCATGGGGCACCCCGTGTAGGTGCGAGAGAGACGACTGCCAGGACGGTGCATACCGAAATAAGGCCGATAATTACGATGTCGCGCGCCTTCCTGTCGGCTCACCTTCGGCTCCGCTTCGGCTCCCCTTCGGCTCCCCTTCGGCTCGGCTCCCCTGCGGCTCCCCTTCGGCTCCCCTTCGGCTCCCCTTCGGCTCCCCTTCGGCTCCCCTGCGGCTCCCCTTCGGTTCCCCTTCGGCTCCCCTTCGGCTCCCCTTCGGCTCGGCTCCCCTTCGGCTCGGCTCCCCTTCGGCTCGGCTCCCCTTCGGCTCCCCTTCGGCTCCCCTTCGGCTCCCCTTCGGCTCCCCTTCGGCTCCCCTTCGGCTCCCCTTCGGCTCCCCTTCGGCTCCCCTTCGGCTCCCCTTCGGCTCCCCTTCGGCTCCCCTTCGGTTCCCCTTCGGTTCCCCTTCGGCTCCCCTTCGGCTCCCCTTCGGCTCCCCTTCGGCTCCCCTTCGGCTCCCCTTCGGCTCCCCTTCGGCTCCCCTTCGGCTCCCCTTCGGCTCCCCTTCGGCTCCCCTTCGGCTCCTCCGGGCGGGGCGACCTGTTCGACTGGCGGTGTGGAGAACCGAGTGTCGCGCCGGAAGGCCGCCTTGCTGGTGACGTCACTGACGTCAGCGGGGGCTGTTGCGGAAAAAGGCGCACTGAAGGCAATTTGTGCCACCTCGCCTCTTGAAGCCGTCTCTTGATCCGACTTTAGGGCCATGACCACGTGGGGGCGCACATTGAGCCAGAAGACTGGTGGAGGCGGCCAAAAGTCTAGACGCGTTTTGATCTACAGAGTCACTAATTGGGACTAGAGCCGAGCGTGTGACCCCACCAATGGATTGCTCGTTCGGAGAGCAATCTATTGGTGGGGTCACACGTTCGGTTTAAGTCCTGTTTAGCGCCTCTGGAGGTCAAAACGCGTCTGGATTCTTGGCCGCCTGCGCCGGTCTTCTGGCCCTGCGGTGCAGCAGACTGACTGCATCCGGCCTTCCTGTCTGCCTGTCTGCCTGTCCGTCCGTCCGCCCGTCTGTCGGTGTTCCGCGATCCTGACCACGGCAATGCCGGGCAATGCCGGCCGATGCCTGGACGAGACGGGCAGTGCCGGCGATGCAGACCCCGAAGGTCACGGCTCGCTCGGCGTCCTCGCTGGCCGCGGCCGGCCGCCCGGTCGGCGGGCAGGGCGGCAGGGCGTCGGTCGCGTGGGCCACCGCACGGAGTGTGGTCCACTGGTGTCTTCTGAGTCACAGTGTGGCGCACAGTGGGCCAGAAGACCGGTGGAGGCGGCCAAAACTCTCGACGCGTTTAGAGCTCCAAAGTCGCTTAATGGGACTCGAACCGAACGTGTGACCCCACCTATGGATTCCTCGTCCAGAGAGCAATCCATTGGTGGGATCACACGTTCGGTTCGAGGCCTGTTTGGAGCTCTGGAGCTCTGCACGCGTCTAGAGTTTTGTCCGCCTCCACCGGTCTTCTGGCCCACTGTGCCTCGCCCACTGGAGCGCGGGCGTGGCGGCGTCTCCTCATTCAAGATCAAGGTCGCGGGGCTGGGCGGCTCGCCGGCATTGGCACTGCACGCCACTGCACTGCCATCGAGCGGCGTTATGCACGTCCCATGCTCGGAATCGTTTTCGTCGCTCCGTCTCTCTCGCCCACACGGGACGCCCCACGAGTGCGAGAGAGACAGAGCGACGAAGGCGACTCTCAGTGTGCAGGACGACCAGCGCGAGGCGCCATGCGCGGAAAAGAACTCGCGGACAGGCTGACGGGCTGACAGGCTAAGACTAGGCCATCTGGCGGCGACTGGCGGTTAGGTCATGTTTTGGTCAGATTGCACAACTAGGGTGCACGGCGCAAAAAAAAAAAGAAAATAATTAAAAATGCTGAAACTTTTTTTAAATTTTTTTATTAACAGTGTGGTTGTGTGTGTGTGTGTCCGATCCGTTTCCGCCTCAACAGTCCCGTCGAAGGCTACGCCGCTGCAACATGCGTCCGGAAAGCACGCAGAAGATGCTGTAAGTACGAGTTGCCCGGCGTGGCGGTGGCCTCCACACGACCAGAGAGCAATCCATTGGTGGGGTCACACGTTCGGTTCGAGTCCCATTTAGCGACTCTGGAGCTCAAAACGCGTCCGGGATTTCGACCGCCTCCGCCGGTCTTCTACACCAATTTTTACCATATCTTTAACGGTGTTTCGCTTCGATGCACTGGCAAGGTCCAGCACAGGCCGGCTTCCAGGTCAAACGTGTGATTAACGATTTAGCATAAACGGCGCGCCATTATGGAAAAGGAAAAAGAGAGTATGAGAAATGAAGCGGTCGGAAAATGGGCGTTTTATCACCGATTGCGCGCTGCGGCCCGAAGGCCCGTAAACAGCGCCAGGCCTTATCGCTCCCACTGTAAAAACTGGAAAAACCGCGTAAGTCGCGGCTGCCCTGGCCTTTCCAGTGCTGCCGCCATTTTCGCGCCGTTGCTTGCCGTTGGCTAGCCTGCAAATGTACCTGACGAGATTCACACAGATTTGGGCCTATATCTAAGTTTTCAACGGAATGAAACAGATTTTTTTCCCCTTCGAGAGTAAACGAGAATCTGTCTTCACAAAAATTTGAGCTTTTGATAGTTTTTTTGACAATTTTGACAACTGTCTTCTCTCTATGTCTTTTTTGGATTTTTTTTTGTATTGTAGTGGCTGTGTGATTCTAACGTTGTCGTCGCCCTTTTCCAGGTGGTCCGGCTGCGTGCGCGGCCCGCTGCGGTGCGCGCGCGCCTTCCTGTGTCCGGCCAGGGGCAGCATGCGGTGAGTGTGTGTGTGTGTGTGTGTGTGTGTGTGTGTGTGTGTGTGTGTGTGTGACAAACAAGGAAGGACGGCGCCGGGATTCGAACGCGAACCCCCGTCGGAGGTCCGACCGAACCGAACGTGTGACCCCACCAATGGATTGCTCTCCGAACGAGGAATCCATTGGTGGGGTCACACGTTCGGTCCGAGTCCTGTTTAGCGACTCTGGAGCTCAAAACGCGCCTAGAGTTTTGGCCGCCTCCGCCGGTCTTCTGGCCCACTGTGTGGCGGTGGTCGCGGTGCCCGGGTCGTCGTCGCGGTCCCCGTGGCCGGGCCGGGCCGGGCCGGGCGCGCGGCGCGCTGGGCGTATTAATAGTCCGTGTCCTCAACCTTTGGCAGGCTGCCGGCCCTCGACGGCACGCCCCGACAACACCTGCTTGTTGAGGGCGGCGAGGAAGACGAGGAAGGCGCCGCGCCCGGAACCCTCTCGGCGTGGGCGTGGCGCTGTGGCGGCCCGGCACGCCACTGTTAACCCTCGCCGTCGGTCGTCGCCAAGGAAAACGCACAGCCACTTACGGTGTGGTCGCCACGCTCCGCTTTCGGCCGGGCCCCCGAATCAGCCTCAATTTCCTCCCGGAGACAACAGGCGGCCCGGGTGGGAACCCCGGGGATAATGCGAGAAAAACGGCTTTTAATTGATAGGTGCGCACACTGTGTGGGACGCCGTGGCCAGCCTGTGGCCTTCCCTGTGGCCGCGGCGATACCCCGCGCGCCGGGGCACTGTAGGGGCACTCGCCAGCGCCGCGCGCGCAGCGCTTCGGGCGAACGCCGCCAGGCAGCGCCACTGTCTGCGCCGCCGGAGTCAGTCTCTCTCTCTCTCTCTCTCTCTCTCTCTCTCTCTCTCTCTCTCTCTCTCTCTCTCTCTCTCTCTCCCTCTCTCCTCCCTCTCCTCTCTCTCCTCTCTCTCTCTTCTCTCTCCTCTCTCTCTCCTCTCTCTCTCCTCTCTCTCTCTCTCTCTCTCTCTCTCTTCTCTCCCCCCTCTTCCCTCCCGCGGGTGCTGTTTGAACCCAAGCCAGACGGAACGATTATTTTCCCCTGCGAAAACAAGCTTAAGCCCTTCTCCGTAGGAAACACTCGGAATCAACTAACTTACGTTCGCCACGTGTTGAGTGCCGCACCGGCGGAAATCGAACCCGCGTCCGCACCAGCTGAGCTACGAGGAACCGCTCAAGCGCGGGCACGCAGAGACATTGCCCTCCCTCCCTCCCTTCGCCCGTCACACTGATGATGCTTTCTCCCCCAAGAAGAAGGTTGCGTTGCCTTACGACGAATTGAGGCCTCGGAATCATTGGGCAGTATCGATATCTCGAACCACCCTCGCACAGTGGGCCAGAAGACCGGTGCAGGCGGCCAAAATTCTAGACGCGTTTTGAGCTCTAGAGTCGCCAAATGGGACTCGAACCGAACGTGTGACCCCACCAATGGATTCCTCGGTCGTAGAGCAATCCATTGGTGGGGCCACACGCTCGGTTCGGGTCCCGTTTAGCGACTCTGGAGCTCAAAACGCGTCTAGAGTTTTGGCCGCCTCCACCGGTCTTCTGGCCCACTGTGCCTCGCCGGAGCGGGGTGAACGGAGTGCTTCTGCTCGACAGCAAGCGTCATTAAAATCAATGAGTTCAGCGACCGTCCGCCGAGAGGACCGGCACAATACGCGACCTCGTTTGAGCTGGAACTCCGCGGACCGATTCCGAGAACAGTCGCTCTGTCTCTCTCGCACCCACACGGGACGCCCCGTGAGTGCGAGAGAGACAGAGCGACGACTCTGCTGGTGGAAGCCGCGGACCGGCAGTAATGTGACTAGCGGCGCGAGATTAGAGGAGAGGGTCTGAGGCTCGGGCGCTTTTGCAAGCGGACACGCCACGCGGCCCTTGTTTTTGATTGGTTAATTTCGCGGCGTACGCACACTCACTCACACACACACGCGCGCGAGTGTTTCCCAGAAGCAGCACCGATTATTGGAACGGCCCCCGCTCAGGCTCAGTGGGCCGGAAGACCGGTGGAGGCGGCCAAAACTCCAGACGCGTTTTGAGCTCCAGAGTCGCTGAACAGGCCTCGATCTGTCCGTGTAACCCCACCAATGGATTCCTCGTTCGGAGAGCGATCCATTGGTGGGGTCACACGTTCGGTTCGAGTCCCATTTTGCGTCTCTGGAGCTCAAACTGCGTGTAGAGTTTTGGCCGCCTCCACCGGTCTTCTGGCCCTCTGTGCCACCACGCCCACTGCACGGCCGGCTGCGAATAACTTGTTAATCCCGGCCGAAAGAGTAGTACACTGCAGTGTACTGGTTCTAATTAAAATGGCGCTGCCACAGTGTAGGCGCTGCGCTCTGCGCTCTGCGCGGGGCGCCGCACTGGCAGCTCGCTTTGACGGCGCGCTTTTTCGAGGGCGTTCCAATATTTCTGGATTCTTTCCCCGAGTCCTGGAGGTCCTGGAAGGGTCCCTTCCCCGCCGACTAAGGGTGGCTTTCGCTCGTTGCTGGGCCAACGCGGAGGGAAAAAAAAGGCTGCTGTTTTCTCTTTCTCCTTTTGCTCTGACTTGTTACGCTTACCGAGAAAGCGAGGTAACAAGTGCGGAGTGCGAGCGTTGAACCCGCGACGCACAGTGAGGCCATAATGGGACGCGTTTTGAGCTCCAGAGTCGCTAAATGGGACTCGAACCGAACGTGTGACCCCACCACACTGCAAAGCCAGTGGTAAGTTTGCTTGCCACAAATTTGGCAGTCGTTTTGAATGCCAAAATTTGGCAAGCTTTGGTTCGCACTCTTCATAAGCTTGCCAAAGTTTGGCAAGCTAGGGAGTATTTCCGCCTGAAGCTTGCCAAATTTTGGCAAGCTGGGGAGTATATCCGGGCCAAGCTTGCCAATTTTTGGCATTCAAAACGGCTTGCCAAATCCGTGGCAAGTAAACTTACCACTTGGATTGCAGTGCAATGGATTGCTTTCCACACGTTCGGTTCGAGTCCCGAGTCCCATTTAGCGACTCTGGAGTTCAAAACGCGTGTAGAGTTTTGGCCGCCTCCGTCGGTCTCCTGGCCCATAGCTCGGCGTTCCAAGAGTGCCTGTTTGCCGGCTGCTTTTACGGCCACCTTGAACCTATTTGAGGCATCGACCTGTCCACGCCACGGCCGTGCACGGCACCGCGCGGACAGCTGTCCCTATCCGATTCCCCGCCCTAGATTATTTGTCGTGAGAGTATCGGGGGGTGGATTAGTTGGCTGGCTGATATGAAACCGCGCGTCGGAAGTAAAGCGGGTTCGCCCATGCCGGTCCTCTGCCCTCAATAGTTCGTGCGTTGGGAAAAAAAAAGCATAAAAACTAAATCTCAGTAGTTCACCTGGTTGAGCTGGATAAATCGGGACCGACTGTTCATGGCCGGGGCTATCGCACAAAGTTCTGACACATTTCAGAGTTCTCTGCGTTCTGTATCGGGCACGACGAGCAACATGCTGTCGTATAGGTGCAAAGTTCATAAAACCTCTGAAAGTGCTGAAATTTGCTGACTGTGGGTGGCTATACTGCGTCCAATGGAGCCGAGGCTCTGACGATGAGAGTTTTGTCGAGGTGGCCCTTCCGGGTCTTTTAGATCGAAGGGTGATGTGGCGAAGAGAGAGAGAGAGAGGGAGACAGCCTGCTCGGCCCCAACAGCTGCACTGCAAGAAAAAACCACAACAAAGATACACCAATTCCTGGCAAATTTTTGATCGGGAATTTTCGGGAATTTATTGGACTTTCAAAGTACAACAATTGTTGTACAAAGTACAATGGAATCGGCATGACGAGTGCTGGGCAGTCCAGGCCTCGTTGTGGTTTGTACAATTCTCGTTGTACTTTATACAATCTCTGGTGTACTTTTATCGACTTTTATTGTACAGTTTTTGTTGTACTTTTTGTTCTAGGGCCAGGTTGGGGAAGATAAGTACAGTACACCCCCTTTGTGGCCTTCTGCTCTAGTTAACAGCGTTTTCACACTCAGGCTGGGTTAGGTCGATGTTAATTTGAAATCACTGGTCGAGGGACGGCTGAAAGTCAAGATATCACCTTCACAAGGGTTCAACTTTCCTTACCCTTTACTTTTCTTCCCCAACCTACCCTTAGTTACACTTTTTCTGGCAGTGTGCGACAATGGCTCTATCATAAAGATACTCTGACGCAGGATACCGGCGGGGCGGATGGCGCATCGCGTGGTCCCCGTCATCCGCACGGACTCTCCGCCCCCCGCGCCGCCCCCGGACCCGCCCCCGGACGCGCCCCCGGCATGCGCGGCCCAGGACCTCCACGCCGGCGGCGGCCTCGGCGGCGGCGTCGCGGCCCCGGACGGCATGGCGCGGCTGTCGGTGCCCGGCTCCTTCGTCAGCTACCTGGACCCCGCCGACGAGGCCGTCTTCCTGGGCACCAACAACTCCGCGGGACGCTACTTCGCGCGCCACGACTCGTACAGGTGAGTGGCTCCACGAGCTCTTCGGCGCCGCGCTGCACAGTGGGCCAGAAGACCGGTGGAGGCGGCCGAAACCCCAGACGCGTTTTGAGCTCCAGAGTCGCTAAATGGGACTCGAACCGAGCGTGTGACCCCACCAATGGATTGCTCTCCGAACGAGGAATCCATTGGTGGGGTCACACGTTCGGTTCGAGGCCTGTTTAGCGACTCTGGAGCTCAAGACGCGTCTAGAGTTTTGGCCGCCTCCACCTCTGGCCCACTGTGCGGCGTCGACGGGCCGACCAGGCCGGCCAACACAACAACGCAAAATATTCCGCGGGAAGCTGCATTCCACGTGCGCAAGTTGGCAGCATCCTCGCTGCTCGCATCGCAGCGATGCGGGACTGCCGTGGACCCCGTCCCTCCCTCCCTCCTAGCCCATTCAAAATTGGCGCGCTCGGCGGGTGGCGCTCGCGGTGCTCGGCGGCTCGGGGGAGACATAGGACGAGGATTGGCCTCGCGGCCGGACTGCCCAGCGCGGCCAGCACAGCCGGCAGGTCGAGGGTCGAGGTCGCGTTGCTGCGCGACAACCCCACTGGAAGCGTGCACCAGAAACAACAACAACAACAACGGAGAGGCCGGCGAGAGAAACAAAACGCACACAAAACCTATGTGTGTACTCAGTACACACTTCTAGGTGCGTGCATACAAGCATGCACCTTGAGGTGTGTACTTGCCTAAGCAAGCCCTTAGAAGTGTGTACTTGAATGAGTATGCACTTAAAAGTGTGTACTCAGTGAGTACACACTTGCGAGGTGCATGCGCGGCATAGGGAAAACGCATGCTTTTCTGTGTGTGTTCTCACTGAGTACACACTTCATAGCGAGGGGGCAAAAACTCGGGATTTTCGTGTACACATGATTCGGAAAACGCAATGATTGCGCATGGTTTTAATTGATTTCATGGCTGATTTTGCCTTATTTCGCGACGCACCAGGGTGATGTTGAGCGTGATTGCGTGTGATTGTGTTCGGAAAGAAATGATTTCGGACTGATTTGGCCTGGTTTCGTGTGATTCTGCCTAATTTCGGTCGATTTTAGTGATTTTGGCTGATTTCGGATTGCTTGATTTCGCGTGATTCTCAATGATTCGCCTGTGATTTCGGGGGCCGTGTACACATGATTGCGCGAGTTTTTGCCCCCTCGCTTCATAGTGCATACTCATTCAAGTACACACTTCTAGGTGCGTGCTTAGGCAAGTACACACCTCAAAGTGCATGCTTGTAAGCACGCACCTGGAAGTGTGTACTGAGTACACACATAGGTTTTGTGTGCGGGCCGCTCTGCGAATGAGCGCGAAGCGCGAAGCGTGGCGAGGCAGGAGGCAGTAGTGGCGCTCTCGAAATAGCTCTGGCGTGGCGTGCCGCTGCACCGGCAGTCGTCGCTCTGTCTCTCTCGCACTCGCGGGGCGTAGCGGGGCGTCCCGTCAGCGGGCGAGAGAGACAGAGCTCGGAATCGGTCCTTGCTTTTGGCTCGGCCAACGGTCCGCCCGAGTCTAAACTACATCACTTTCGGCTTGCGGCCCCCGCGGCCCCCGCAGGCCTCGCTCGCTAAGTAGGCTTCACCGCAAAGGCCGCGACGCCCCAAGGGACGCGCTGGCCGATTGGGGCTCCGGGTTCGATCCCCGGCCGAACGCCACCACAGCAGAGGCATTACCGTGCGCCCACACTGGTACCTGGCGGCCTGGCGTGCCAGTGGCGGCCAGGTTGGCGTCCGGTTCCGGGAAGCAGGAAGCGAGGCGCACTTCGCGGAACCGGGCCGCCGCAATCGAGGGGGGAACAGCTTCCCACATTCGTTGTACAAAAATTGACCACATTCCACATTCAGGAGGGGGAAACGCCTGTAAGTAGGCAACATGTGTGGCAAAAATGCCAGAAATCTTGCACATTCTTGCACATTCACACAATCATTGTACACCAAATTTTACAGTGGGGCACCCCTCGGCCGCAATGCATAAGGGATGGTGCGCCAAAGGGCATGCGCTGATTGGCTGTCACGGCCTCCAGCACACTGAGAGTCGCCTTCGTCGCTCTGTCTCTCTCGCACTCACCAGTCTGCTTGTACAGACGGCCCACTAGCGCGTCAAGGTGGCGTCCAGCGGGGGCAGCGACACTAGCTCTGTGCAGGGTCCAGCGCACAGTGGGCCAGGAGACCGGCGGAGGCGGCGCCGAAACTCCAGACGCGTTTTGAGCTCCAGAGTCGCTAAATGGGACTCGAACCGAGCGAGTGACCCCACCGATGGATTCCTCGTTCGGAGAGCAATCCATTAGTGGGGTCACACGTTCGGTTCGAGTCCCGTTTAGCGACTCTGGAGCTCAAAACGCGTCTAGAGTTTTGGCCGCCTCATTTTTCAACGTTTTTAGTCATTTTTCAACGTTTTTGAGCCATTTTTCAACGTTTTTGAACCAATTTTCGAAAATTTCACGCGTCATCCCTAGTAAATTTCCCGTAATCCCGTAATCTTGTGTACGCCTGAAATGAGAGTGGTGGCCCCCTCGCCGCCTCCGCCGGTCTTGTGGCCCACTGTGCGCCGGGGAGCGGCTTGCAGCTGGCAAGACTGTCTTTTACTTTTCGATGTCATCTTTTAAAATTTGTATCGTTTTTTTTTTATGCGAGTGTTGGCGGCTCTGGGGCGGAATGGAACAAAAGCGGTTCGATGCATAATTGGGGCGTGTTAATGCCACGCCAGGCGTTGCCGGCGGCCAAGGCATCGCATGATCGCAGCGGGATGAATTTTTCATTCCGGCGAGCGAAGGGTGGGCGCAGCCTGGCGCAGCCCCGCGTCTCCTGGCGTTGCGTGTGTGTGTGTGTGTGTGTGTGTGTGTGTGTGTGCGCGCGTGCGTGCGTGTGTGTGTGTGTGTGTGTGTGTGTGGTGTGTGTCGGAGGGGGGGGGGTGAACACAGTCAAACACACCCTTGCACAAACACCTTAACACCTGATCGTCTACTACCAGCCTTACTTCGTTCAGTTTTCTTGGGGTTACGGTATTTGTCCCGGCTTGCCGGAGCTCGGTCCTCGCCTCGGGACCTCATCAATGCCGTCGCCCTGACAAGCCCTGCAGGCTTTCGGCAAGCCCGGGCAAGCCCTGCGAGCCGAGCTGGCACACTGTGCCACACAGCGACCCGCTGTCACGTTCGCAGTGGAGTGGAGGCCCTCCTACCCGTCCCCAAGAGCACTCAGTGCGTGAAAAATAATTGTTGCCAAAATAATTGTTGTGCTGTCGGTTTGCGTTGCAGGCCTAGGCCGGGCTGGACGGACCATGGGCTCGTCCCGCGAGAGAGAGAGAGAGAGAGAGAGAGAGAGAGAGAGAGAGAGAGAGAGAGAGAGAGAGAGAGAGAGAGAGAGAGACAAAGTGTCCTGCATGCATTTGCGTGTGTATCTCTCTGAGTGCTTGTGAGTTTGTGAGACCTATTCGCGTCTGAGATGTTAATTTCTCATACTGGCCGCCCCCATGACGCCCCCGACGGGGCCTCACTTATGGATGCTCCCTGCTACGGGCGGCCACGGGCGGCCGCGGCCAAGCCCCCAAACGAGGAAGAATATTTAGCCACTCACCTCCCCTCGGCCGGCGCCGGCGGCGAGCTGGGCGGTCAGGGTGTTGTGTCTGGTCCGCGGGGGCGGCGGGGGCCGCGGGGGGCTAACCACATTGGCGGGCACGGCCAAGTCGAGCATGCCGGGGGCGGCAAGGTCGGGGCGGCCAACTCGCGCAGGGGATGTAGCGCACAGTGGGCCAGAAGGCCGGTGGAGGCGGCCAAAACTCTAGACGCGTTTTGAGCTCCAGAGTCCCTAAACAGGCCTCGAACCGAACGTGTGACTTCACCAATGGATTCCTCGTTCGGACAGCAATCCATTAATGGGGTCTTACGTTCGGTTCGAGTCGCATTCAGCGACTCTGGAGCTCAAAACGCGTGGAGAGTTTTGGCCGCTCCGCCGGTCTTTTGGCCCACTGCGCTGCGGTCGGCCCGGGCGGCCCGCCCGGCCCCGCGTAGACGGTGTCGATACGCAAGTTTGCCGATAAGTGTAGTCTGCCTTCGCTCCAGCCGCGGGCTCTTAGCCCTGCCGTGTGTGCGTTGGCTCGGCATGTGCGTGCACCCAAGCGAGAGAGAGAGAGAAAGAGAGAGAGAGAGAGAGAGAGAGAGAGAGAGAGAGAGAGAGAGAGAGAGAGAGAGAGAGAGAGAGAGAGCGAGCCTTCTTGCTGTTTTCATTTGCAGTGTCCCGACAAATTATCGTGCCGAACCTGTCCTTAGCAGTGCTGCAACCCTCTGCCTTCTCATTAAACAAGGGCTGGCGACAGCGGTTAAACCGGCAAACCCGGTTAACCCGGTTAAACCACCGCCTCGGGGTAACACTCACACTCACTCACACACACACACACACACACACACACACACACACACACACACACCAGTCCCTGTTCGATGAGGCGGTGAGCATCCCCTGTGCCCCTGGAAAGCAAATACCACTGCACCCACTGCCAGTGCAGCTGCTTGCAGCAGCCTTGCGGGGGTGTGCTCTCCGGTTAAATGCTTTCATTGCTTTTCACCCCTACGCCACAGAAAACCCGAACCTCACCACTCGGAAGATTGTGTGCTCGGCAAGCGGGGCGCGGGCCGGGGCGTCCGTACGTACGTACACTCTGAAGCAAGGGCAACCCGTCTGCTGGGGTCACACGTTCGGTGCGAGTCCTGTTTAGCGACTCTGGAGCTCAAAACGCGTCCTGGATTTTGACCGACTGCGTCTTCTGGCCCACTGTGCCCCGACATGCAAATTGGACTGCTCGCTTCCCGTGCGCTCGCGAGGCGTGGGCTGGCCGGCGCCGGGCGCTGCTTCGCCTCCACCGCGTTGCTGCTGTGGGCCTGTGGGGCCTGGGGGGCGGTGGGGCGGTGGGGCCGTGTGGTGTCGAGTGTCACGCCGGGATTCGCCCCCAAGGGCGCGCTAGGTGGGGTCATGACCTGCCGCCGGCCC